TTGAACCCCTAATATTTTGCCATCTCCAAAAGCAAGAAGTCCCTCTGTATCTCCAAATTTAGACTCATCTATATTTATTGCTTGTCCACGATATTTGGCTATATTCGTCAACGAAATCAGCATAAAAAAGCCAGAAGTTCGCCTTCTGTGTATTTCGGATGTCGCCTGTAAGTAATGCTGGTATTTTTTCACACAAAATTAGTGGTCAGTTCTACCCGCTGTCCTAAACTCTAACTTTATGCGAGATTTCGTGTCATTTGGTTTCTATTTGTGACCTTTATAAAGGCTGCAAAATCAGGAAAACATTTCAACCCCTAATATATTGCGGACATCTTTGAAAACAATAGGCCAAGCCCTTTTGAGTCCAACCATACCCTTGTGAAAATTTTCGTGAGGATCGGACGATAATTGCTATCTTTATATAATATCCCAACCTGTGTTGTATGGTGAAAAAATATTACAAAATATTATAAGTCAAATTGAAAAAATCGCATGCGATAAAAAATATGAAAAAATAAAAAAATGTCACAAAATACTACAAAATTTATATTAACATCATTATTGGCATATTTTTCTGCGATTCTTTTAGATTTTATACTTCTATGTCAAGAGGACATTCTGAATTGACAAAATTTGTCAAAATCAGTCCAGCCATTCTTGAGATATAACTAACTATAACTAACTAACCTCCCCTTCCTTTGTATATACACATTGTATATATTTCGCTATATATAACTGATATATTTACTATCGGCATCTACGTAACGGTCAGAATTGACCTGTTCGTCTGTTTGTGATTTCGCCGGGATTAAAAATATTCGCGGTTTAATGGAAAATTTGACTTTTATTTAACACAAATGTTGGGGCCTATTTCACCCACTAAATATTACCCGATTACTGGGCTTCTGCCCAGCCTTAAGCTTTAGCCCCACGCTAATTTCCGCGTCGATTGGTCCATAATTGCGACCTGTAGAGCAACTGCAAAACCAGGATTTTTTCAGTTTTTGGTCCATTTCGACCATAGGAAGATCCATATATACTTTCCTATGTGGGAAACCAATATTTCGAGGTCTTACATCATTTTTGGCCCAATCAAACTTATAATACCCCCAACACATAGTGTTGTAGGGTATAATAATGTTATCAACTGGTTGTTCTAACTTAAATTTTTATTGTACCATGTATATACCTAAAGCTGCCATGTACAAAGGCCTAAACTGCTAAAGACTAGAAAAATGCATTCTGAGCAAATAGTTTGTGGCTACAATATCTTCAATAACAGGTCATGACAGATGCATGTTGATGTAAAAGACACAAGTACAGAAAATAATGACGAATAAAAGTTTGAAAAATGTAATTCTATTCCATTCCATAGACCTTCCCGATTGATTTCCATGCTCTTAGCGGTTTAAATTATTTAACATTGGCAACTACGTTGTTACGATATCACAACAACAGAAGTATTTACACCTGGTGACAATATTTTGACTCTGACTTGTTCTATCTTTATACTTCTGCGTCTTTGCCATGTATATGTTTCGTCAGATTTTCTATTTAAACCTTCCCAAAGTCATAATATGCACTGTATAGCAAAACGATTTGGTAAATGAATTGAAATACAGAATAAAAATGCCGACTCTGATTTAGACATAGTTTAGTTTCAAAAGTTTATCAGTTCAAAACGATCATAGTTGGCATTATTTAATTTCACACAAATTCCCAATATGAATTGGTTCCGATGGTTCGACCTTTAGTAAGGGTGTTAGGAGGGTTAGCATGGAGTTAGGATCGAAAAAAAAGATTATAGTTATTGTATTTAGTGTTTGAAATAAACCAAAAACAGAATTTTGGGAGAGGGAAGAGACCTACAATTTTACATGGCCAGCAAAAATATTAAGAGGATAAAATGGACCATAATTTTTATGTGAACAAGTAAAATAGTATCAGTCGGTTTTGCAGACAGATGTATACCCCCAGCCTTGAGTTATGAACGTGACAGATTTGGACTATATCGGCTACTTCTTGTACTTTATATGAGATAGGTGCACATTTTCGGAAATATGCGTCAGGTAACAGATATAGCGGACCGAAGTATTCCATTTTCATACTTCATCTAATACAGATAAAATATATTGGTATGTGAAAAATGTGAATGAAATTGAACATTCGTATCCAATTTTATGCGAAATCATAAATTCCGACAAATTACATATTCATATCAGAATACTGGTTAAGAGAAATATTTAGATATAGCAAGTTGTTAAGAATCACCGACTTGTTCCGCAAGTTATGACAATTATAAGTTGGCAGATCTTGTGTTGGAGAAAATATTGAGAAGCTCCAAGTCTGAATGGAATCGGATGTTAATTTTGCGTTTTATGAGCTTCGTGGATACTCAAAATTTTGATCCTTTGTGGGGGAGGTACCAGAAGGAGTGGACCGATATATCCCATCTTCACACCAGATCTTGAGTTAGTAGAAATAATGGGACGTGTGTAATATGAAGAATACCGGATGTTTATTTCGGATTCTTTCCTCGTTTTCTCGACTCCAAATGTTCTGAAACGGATTTGGTCCAAAGAGACCTAGGGTCTAAAACCGTTATTTCGACTAGGCACGTTTTGGCCGTATCAAATGATATATACCTTCTGTAGCCATATGGCTGAGGGTATAAAAATGTCCAGTGTGAGACATGATTTAACAAGAAGAGCAAACACAACAGCCTCCGCTTGTTGGTATCTGTGTTCTAAAGCCCCCCGAATATGCCAGTTGACATATTCCGAAAATTAAGTTAAAAGGTATTAAACATTTAAAACCGCGATCCAAATTGTCGTTTTCAAGAAGCCTTTACAAATATAAAACTTACTAAGATGCCCAGGTCAAAAACTACAGGGGGCATGAAATATGATAACACGAAATCAACCAAAATGCATTTGGACATAAGGAGGTTTGCAACACATTATAGTATTGCAGGGTATCATATGGTAGGCACTACCACAGTCCTTACAGCTGAGTGGGGTACATTTGAACATTTCTTAATTGTAAAATTTCATTTCAAAAAGTACCAAATTTAAACTCTTTTAAGAGATTTTTGTACGGAATACCCTTATGCAAAATATCAACGCACAAACACTTATCAAGCACTCTCTAAATTGTCTCAATTTCGTCTCTTTTAGCTCTTTCCGTACAGATTGAAACAAAACTCGATTTAATTTCGACATCTTAATCCAAAAGAGAAATACTAATTTCCATGGTTTTAGATCTAACAATATTCTATGTTGTACTATAAAGTATTTTTCAAACGAAGTCACAATTCAAGATAAATGAATTCCCTCTAAATAATGTATATATTTATACCCTACAATACTATGTGTTGGGGGTATTATAAGTCTACAAAATCTATATTTACATCATTCCATGTCCATGTTAATTTGTAATCACTCTGCAGGTCGCAATTATGGCCCGATCTTCACGAAATTTAGAATGTAGGTGGGGTTAAGGTGAGAATAGAACCACATTTCTTTTGGAGATGACCGCATAATATGTAGGGGTCGGACTGGACCCAAAACTGAATAAAATCTTGATTTTGCAGTTGCTCTACAGGTTGCAATCACGGCCCGATCGACGCGGAAATTAGCATGGGGCTAGAGCTTAGGCTGGACAGAAGCCTTCCAATTTTGATGGTCATCGGATAATATTTAGTGGGTGAAATAGACTATAACATTTGTGTTAAATAAAAGTTTTTTGGCCGGCGAAATCACAAAAAGACGAATAGGTCAATTCTGAACGTTACGTAGATGCCGATAGTAAATATATCAGATATATATAGCGAAATATATACAATGTGTATAAAAAAAGATGCCAATAATGATGTAAATATAGATTTTGTAGTATTTTGTGATTTTTTTTATTTTTTCATATTTTTTATCGCATGCGATTTTTGTGATTTGACTTATAATATTGAGGTGTACATTTTGTAATATTTTTCACCTTACAACACAGATTGGGGCTATTATATACAGATTGCAATTATCGTCCGATTATCACGAAAATTTTCACAAGGGTAGGGTAGGCGCAGAACGGCTAGGCCTATTGTTTTCAGAGAATGGACCAACAACTAAAAATGTTCCTGATTTTGCATACGTTGTAAAGGTCACAAATAGAAACCAAAGGATCCCAAATCTCGCATGAAGTTTGAGTTTAGGACGGCGGTTGGAATGGACCACAACTTTTGTGTGAAAAAGTACCAACATTACTTACAGGCGATATCCGAAGTACACAAAATGCGAACTTCTGGTTTTTTTATGCTGATTTCGTTGACGAATATAGCCAAATATCGTAGACAAGCAAAACATATAAATGAGTATAAATTTAGAATATAGAGAGGACTCTTATTTTTGGAGATGATCGCAATATATTTAGCGGTTCAAATGAACCAAAAATAGAAAAAAATCCTGATCAGACAATTGAAGCCAATAAACACGCCTGAGAAGAGAGTTAAGGACAGCGAAGAAGTCTAGCATTTTGGATGACCATTGAATTATATTTAGCTGTAAAATGGACCACAACAACTAACAGCACGATGAAGTGCGTAAATACTGGGCAAATATTCCTGGTCAAAATACTAAGGGTAATATGTGGACACTGCTCCGTGACATAATTTCAAAAGCGAAATCTTCCAAAATTCGATTTGGACATAAGGGGGCTTCTAATATATTGGTGTGTTGTAGGGTATCACATGGTCGGCCCCGCACGACAATAGCCTTTGCTTACTTGTTTAAATATTTTATTAATTTTTTTATTTATTTGTAAACCATTAAAGTTAGTCTATTCAGAAACCCTCCATATTTCATATAAAATTGGAAATTTCTAACACCTATCGATAGCTTAGTAACAAAAAATATTATTTGCTAGAAAAATTCTACAATTGCTAACCCAAATAGTGACCTCATTGTACTACAAACTTTGTATCCGCTATCCTACAAATATGTACATCCCATATTGTTAAATATTTTTTTATTATTATTCATTTGCATTTGTTTTACATTCGAACTTAATTATATTTACATAAAATTTGGCAAATGCTGCTTCTGTGCTTTCGAAGAATTTCACGAAATCTCATCTTAATCAAATTTTGAAATCGCTCACTAGCCATATTCTTGCGATGAACAAAAGAAAAACAACAGAATTTAACAATGATTGACTTATTACACTAAAGTTCACATAAAACAAAATGAGAAAACGAAAAAACACAAGGACTTCTTAAAATGGACATCGGTAGGCTAATGATTTGTTTAAATGAAGTTACTTAAATTAATTAACGCTTGAACTTGAGTATTGTAGTGTAGTGTAGTGTAGGAGGTATGAAGATATAATTTTTTTGCAATATCGGGTAAGTTAAAGTAAAGTAAATTAGTATAGGGGCTTAGATGCTACGAGTATTTGTGGCAGATATCGTTGCATTGAGTACTGAGGCTTAACGAGTGATTGAGATTTAATAGTTGTAACCAGTTTGGGGATTAAAATCGCCACTTGGATGACCACGACCCGGTAAGCCTGGCGCAGGACCTGAACCACCGGCTCCACCGAAACCTCCAGCGCCACCACCAGCTTCTTTACCACCGGCACCAGCACCGCCACCAAAACCGCCAGCGCCACCAGCTCCAGCGCCACCTCCTCTACCACCAGCACCGCCACCGGCGCCACCACCACCACCAAAACCGCCTGCCCCACCAGCACCAGCACCTTTACCGCCAGCACCTCCCGCACCACCACCGTAACCACCAGCACCACCACCACCAAAACCGCCTCCAGCGCCAGCTCCACCACCTCTTCCACCGGCTCCACCAGCACCGCCACCGAAGCCGCCGGCACCTCCACCACCAAAACCGCCACCGGCGCTTGCTCCGCCTCCTTTTCCACCGGCACCACCGAAGCCACCGGCACCTCCTGCACCACCTCCATAACCACCAGCTCCTCCTGCTCCGCCTCCTCTACCAGCGCCACCACCTGCACCAGCACCTCCGCCGGCACCACCACCAAAACCGCCTCCAACACCAGCCCCACCTCCTCTTCCACCGGCTCCACCAGCACCGCCACCGAAGCCGCCGGCACCTCCTCCTTTTCCACCGGCACCACCGCTACCACCGAAGCCACCGGCACCTCCTGCACCACCTCCATAACCACCAGCTCCTCCTGCTCCGCCTCCTCTACCAGCGCCGCCACCTGCACCAGCACCTCCGCCGGCACCTCCGCCGGCACCACCACCAAAACCGCCTCCAACACCAGCCCCACCTCCTCTTCCACCGGCACCACCTGCACCGCCACCAAAACCACCAGCGCCACCGGTACCGCCTCCTTTACCACCGGCACCGCCAAAGCCACCGGCACCACCAAAACCACCGGCACCTCCGCCGGCGCCTGATCCGCCTCCATAACCACCTGCGCCCGCTCCACCGCCTTTGCCAGCTCCACCACCAGCACCACCGCCACCACCATAACCTCCGCCTGCACCGGCGCCTCCGCCACGACCTCCAGCACCACCGGCGCCGGAACCACCTCCAAATCCACCAGCACCACCTGCGCCGGCTCCACCTCCAAAACCACCAGCTCCGGAACCACCGCCAAATCCGCCGGCACCTCCTGCGCCAGCTCCACCTCCTCTACCAGCACCGCCACCGGCTCCAGCGCCACCTCCTCCAAATCCACCGGCTCCACCGCCTTTACCAGCACCACCACCATAACCGCCGCCAGCACCGCCACCTCCTCCTCTACCGCCAGCTCCGGCGCCACCGCCAAAACCACCAGCCCCGGAACCACCGCCGAATCCGCCGGTACCTCCTGCGCCAGCTCCACCTCCTCTACCAGCACCGCCACCGGCTCCAGCGCCACCTCCCCCAAATCCACCGGCACCACCAGCACCGGCTCCCCCGCCTCTACCAGCACCTCCACCTGCCCCAGCGCCACCACCATAACCGCCACCAGTACCGGCACCTCCACCTCTACCACCAGCTCCGGCGCCACCGCCAAATCCGCCGGCACCTCCTGCGCCAGCTCCACCTCCTCTACCAGCACCGCCACCGGCTCCAGCGCCACCACCTCCTCCATATCCACCAGCACCGGCTCCGCCACCTCTACCAGCACCGCCACCTGCACCTGCACCAGCGCCACCACCATAACCGCCGCCAGCACCGGCACCTCCTCCTCTACCACTAGCTCCGGCGCCACCGCCAAAACCACCAGCCCCGGAAGTACCACCGAATCCGCCGGCACCTCCTCCGCCAGCTCCACCGCCTCTACCAGCACCTCCGCCTGACCCAGCGCCACCGCCATAGCCGCCTCCAGCACCGGCGCCACCAGCACCACCTGCGCCAGAACCACCGCCAAATCCTCCGGCTCCACCACCTCTACCAGCTCCACCTCCTGCTCCTCCACCAAATCCACCACCTGCGCCGGCACCTGTTCCGCCGCCTCCACCTCTACCGGCACCACCTCCTGCTCCTCCACCACCATATCCGCCAGCTCCGGTGCCACCACCGGCTCCACCAAAACCTTTGACACAACAAACATTTTATTATCCTTGATTTTCAACACATTTCGATATACTTACTTCCAGCACCACCTCCACGTCCAGTTCCACCTGCACCTGCACCTGAACCAGTTCCACCAATGAAACCACCACCAGGTGCCGGTTGAATTCCTTGGGCAGCCAGAGCCTTTGCTATCGCCTCAGGTATTGGAGGAGGAGTTGGTAACAAATCTCCTTGTGGTTGGAAACCATTTTCATCGGCGGTATAAGCAACTTCTATCACCTGACCATCGGGCGCAGTATATGAATATGTACCCATCACAGAGGGAATTTCATTGTCAGATCCTTTATTTTTAACTGTGCCTTCTTCCTCAGCCTTTATGCCATTACCCGTTTCGTAGCTAAAGCGATAGTTGCCATCGCCATCGTTTTCATTTACAAATGATAGAATTGGAATGACTGGTCCAGCTGGTGCAGAGGGGCCGGAAGGTGCACTGGGCCGCGCTCCTGGACCACTACCACCGGAGGGTCCAAATGGTCGACCTGGGCCACCTGCACCGGAGAAACCTCCAAGGCCATTGTTGCCGCCACCGCCACCTCCGCCTCCAAATCCCCCACCGCCACCACCGCCTGCACCTCCTCCACCCCCTCCGCCAGCGCCGCCACCACCACCAAATCCTCCTGGCCTGCCTCCTGGTCCACCACCGCCTCCTGGACCTTGAAGACCAGGACCACCACCTGCCGTGGCAGCATTAGGTGGGGGCGGAAGGTATCGATTATCTAAGCGGGCACCATGAGCTAACGTCAGCAGTATCATCAAGAATGGCTGCAATGATAAAACAAAACGAAAACCATTTAATTTGCATTTTCATATCTAAATCATGTTTGAGAGTTTATCTTTGATTTCGATATCCAACAAAAAACGACAAAAGAATATTTATTTTTACGAGTTGCCCAGGGTTTTCATGTCAGCTTGGCATTAACAACATGGCATTGCTTAAATTTACAGGCTATGCATTAGCCATAGATAACCATCCTAAAGAAGATGGAGAAATAAAAGCCATTCAAACATTGCGAGCCGATTGCCAAGCTGCACATCTGTCCGTATCTGTCTGTCTTCTGGTAAATGTCAATTTGATGCTATCGATACGGAAAGACGAGTTACAAACTGACGAGTGCGATGTTAATAAAAATTTATTCGAAAAATATTCATAAAACAATTATGGCCAATAATAATTTACCAAAAAAAAAATATTATTTTATTTGAGATGCCGACAATGGGAAATCCATATCCGAAGATACAATTGAGAAGTGATTAGAACGTTATCTATGACATTATCTTTTTTACAAAATAATAAATAATTAGAGGATTATTTTGAATTCCGTTAAGCAAATGTAGTCAATTAACTATAGGTATATTCTTGAGTTGTGGATTAAGTTTGGAGCAGATTTTTGTTGCCCTGGGGATGGTATGAACTTCAATGACATTCTTAAGCTATTTAAAAATGTTTCTATAGAGGTGTGATATTCACAGAGCTCCTAAAACAAATAAGAAAGCATTAGTTTCAAAATTGCCAGCAGATATTCACCCATATCATAAGGGTTGACCTCTGTGAGGTTTTTGCACAAATTTTTCAGGGAAAGTACAAAATAAGTTTTTCGGTTAATTTCTCCTTTTGACACAGGATCTTATATTAATAAAAATTTTGAGACATGAGAAGCCTGACTACAAATTAAATTAAAAAATTAAAAATGTTAGACTTTGTGGGGTGAGGACCTGAAGGAGTGGAACGATTTTCCTTATTTTCTCAACTCGAGCAATATCGAGTGCGAGTGCGAGCAATATCGAATACAACCCTAGATTGCTAATTTCTTTTATAACGTTGACATTTTGTGGGAGAGTTAGCAAAAGTGCGAGCAATATCGAATACGACCTTGGCTTGCTAATTTCTTTTATAATGTTGACATTTTGTGAGAGATTGCGTCCTCTCAAGCCCAAACTTGATAGATATTACGATATTCCAAATGTGGACAAAGTTAAATATACCTTCTAAAGCTATTGTGGACACTAGCCAGTAAGACAGACTAACTGATGGGAGGACAAACACCGCTACATCGATCCCAAATGACCGCAATATTCCATTCAACAATTATTGAAAAATGAGCTATTGAAATTCCAAAAAGTGCAAGAACTTACACCGCAACAGAAAGAAAATAGACTCAAAAGAGCTAAAGAGTTGTTTCGCTTGGCCGAAAGTGGTAGTGAATTTGGTTTTCTCAGATGAGAAAACATTCGTTTTTTCAGCAGTTAGTAAACAAACAAAATGATCGTGTTTACTTGCCAAAGAGGTCAGCTGAAAATGTGCACCTTCGGTTGGCCACCAGAACTCAAGCGTCGGCCATGGTGATGGTGTGGGCCGCCGTGGAAAATATTTTGGAGGGTGTATTAAAACCTTGGGCACGCAAACATTTTGGCCGCAGACCTTGGGCATTCCAACAGGACTCCGCACCATCGCACTCAGCACGCGCCATCCAAGAATGGTTACAAAATGAGGTTCCTCTCTTCATTTCCAGCGCACAATGGCCACCAAAATCTCCGGGAACCAATCCGTTAGACTACTGTTTCTGGAATATTTTGGAAAGCAGGTTTGGCACTAAAAAATACCAAAGTGTCGATGCAATGCTATGCACTACCTTGAAGACCTTGGGAAAAACTATTTTAATTAAGTGATAGAATTGCTAGAATAGCATTGAACTAAGTGTATTGAACTTTCAGGAGATTATATTGGAGATTTATTTTTTTTCCTTGATAGGCTAAGAAGTTTCCGAACCGCCCTCGTATTTGCAGTTATTTTGCGTATTGATATTTTTTTGCCTTTTTGAAGAAATTTTATATGTTCCTTATTTCAGTTTAGTTAAACACAAATAGAGTTTTAGAGACTCAAATACGTTACGGAACTCTCCCATCACTTTGGGTCATTAACATTAAGTTCCTGGTCTGTCGACTTAAAGTCTACCCAACATTTAGAATATGCACACACATATGACAATGCATATATTCATCTGCCTGCTTGTCATGAAATGCAACAATGACCTCTGAAGTATTTTGATTTTTAATTGAAATAACATTGTATTGAGATAATGCATGCAAATGTTAACTTCTGTTTGGCATGAATGAATATTTGCAATGTAATGCTCGAAGATAAGTCGACATAAGTATTTTTTTTTTGTCTATAAAAATTACACTGTTTCCAAATTCTGTACTCAAGTTTCTATTTTAGACTAATACAATTAAGGATGAATGGATGAAATTTTTTGGACTATTATACTATGATCCCACAGTTAATCTTACCTCATAATGAGTCAAAAATTATGTAATCCAAAAATTGTGAAGGTCCACGTTTAGGTTTAGACCCCATATAATATTACCCTCCGATTTGAAGTGTTTAGCTACATTTTAATTCTGGTGTTGTTAATGGGTACCTCATGCCCTTGCAACATAATGTAAATGTGGATTCATTGAAATTGATAAGAACTTTCCCCCAATATTATTTATTTAGAGGATTTTTTTTATTTTGAATCGATTTTTCTGAAATTTAACATTCGTGTTTGGGATAGGGTAAAACATGGATGTGTTAAAAATTGTCAACATTGAGTATGTTTTGGCATTTTGGATTCTGAATACAATATAAACCTTCTTGCAAAAAATTGTCAAAAAAGTTTCTCTCTGTGGCGTACCTCCCATATAAAGGTACCTCCACATTTTCCGTAATTTAAAGGTTAAAGTGAAACTTTAAAATACGAATTGTGTTCACAGATTATTTAAGATTATGATGCGAAAAAATGCTAAAGAAAGGGGAATTATTAGAGTTTATTTCTCTTGTAAGTAGTAGTGAATATGAATATATATTTGAGTAAAAATTATCGATAGGACCATTAAACATAAAATTTAACCTAAAAATGATAGATAAAACACTCACTTTGGTGTAATTTAATGATGAAGTGACTATATTTCATCATCAAGTACATAAAGTTTCTTCAAAATCATAAATAAACATAATTCAACATTCTCCGGTTTTAAAGGTAAAATTGAAATCTGGTATGTTAAAATAATACTTGCAGCGCTAATGTTAAAATTTGTTGCATACAGTTTTTATACCCTACTAGCTGAACCCGGTGCGCTTCGCTACCCCTTTTGATTTTATATGCATTCAAAATTTATTTACGAATATATGTTGGATGAAGAAAAACAAATTTAAAAATTAAAAAAAAAAAAATATTGCACTAATTTAATGCGTTAATAAACAAAATCATTACAAAAGCAGTAACATGACATGAGTACACGAAGGGTTTGTCCTTTGGATTTATTTATTTCATAGCAAATACCAAGCGTGCAGGAAACTGCAATTCTTTTAAGTAGAGTGGTTTTTCTATTGCAATTGCGAGATAGCAACATACTTCGCCGTAATAAGCGTATTTCAAATAAATTGTTGTGTTGTTTTTTAGTGCTAGCCTAAGGCGTTGTGGGTCAATGGTTCTTATTAAAATCATATCCCAATCTGATCCGATTTAAATATAATTTTAAAAAAATTACTTTTACACCAAACTCCGCCACACCTTTCATATTTCATTGAAATTGGTGCGTCAAATATGTGAAATCGGCCGAGAATATATATATATGGAAGCTATATCCAAATCTTAAATTATTTCCAATTAATTTATCACATTTATTATTATAACCAAATTCCGCCACACATTCTGAATTTCATTGGAATCGGTCATATATATCGTGTTTGGTGCATAATATGTATGAAATCGGCCGAAATATATATGTTAGCTATATCCAAACCTCAACTGATTTCAATATAATTTGGCAATTTTTGCTGGTGCCAGATTTTGTTTCTCTCGCTTTGGGTGCATCAAATATGTGAAATCGGCTGAGTATATATATGGGAGCTATAATCACATCTGAGCGTATTTGAATATAATTTGTCAAATTTATTTTTGTACCAAATTTAGCCACTCATAATCAAAATCCCGTTACATATTCCAAATTTCTTTGGAATCGAACATACATATCGTGTATGGTGCATAAAATACATGAAATCGGTCGAAAATATATATGAGAGCTATATCCAAATCTGAACCGATTTTAATATAATTTGACAAATGTATATTTGTTTTAATTTCCGCTACACATTCCAAATTTCATTGAAATTAGAGATACATAGCGTGTTTGGTGCATCAAATACATGAAATCGGTCGAAAATATATATGGGAGCTATATCCAAATCCGAACCGATTTCAATTTAATTTGACAAATTCATTTTGGCTCCCAATTCCGTTACTTATTTTAAATTTCATTACAATTGGAAATACATGTCGTGTTTGGTCCACCAAATACATGGAATCGGCCGAAAATGTATATGGGAGCTATATCCAAATCTGAACCGATTTCAATATAATTTGGGAAATCAATTTTTTAGATAAAATCTATCACATGTTTCAAATTTCATTGAAATTGGGGATACATAGCGTGTTTGGTGCATCAAATGCTTGAAATCGGCCGAAAATATATATGGGAGCTATATCCAAATCTGAACCGATTTCAATATAATTTGACAAATTTATTTTCGGATTAAATCCCGTCACACATTCCAAATTTCATTGGAATCGAACATTCATATTGTGTTTGAGGCATCAAATGAACGAAATCGGTCGAAAATATATATGGGAGCTATATCCAAATCTGAACCGATTACAATAAATTTTGGCAAACTTATTTTTGTTCCAAATTCCGTTACGTATTCCAAATTTGGAGACTGT